AACTATAAATAAAGGTACTTCCTTCTATCGGAACTATAAATAAAGGTACTTCCTTCTATTGGAACAATAAATTAAGGTACTTTCTTGGATTGGAACCATAAATAAAGGTACTTCCTTGGATTGGAACTATAAATAAAGGTTCTTTCTTGGATTGGAACTATAAATAAAGGTACTTCCTTGGATTGGAACTATAAATAAAGGTACTTCCTTCTATTGGAACTATAAATGAAGGTACTTTCTTGAATTGGAACTATAAATAAAGGTACTTTCTTGGATTGGAGCTATAAATAAAGGTACTTCCTTCTATTCGAACTATTAATAAAGGTACTTCCTTGGATTGGAACTATTAATGAAGGTACTTCCTTCTATTGGAACTATAAATAAAAGTACTTCCATCGATTGGAACTATTTATAAAGGTACTTCCTTGGATTGGAACTATAAATAAAGGTACTTCCTTCTATTGGAACTATAAATAAAGTTACTTTCTTGGATTGGAACTATAAATAAAGGTACTTTCATGGATTGGAACTATAAATAAAGGTACTTCCTTCTATTGGAACTATAAATAAAGTTACTTTCTTGGATTGGAACTACAAATAAAGGTACTTTCATGGATTGGAACTATAAATAAAGGTACTTCCTTCTATCGGAACTATAAATAAAGGTACTTCCTTCTATTGGAACTATAAATAAAGTTACTTTCTTGGATTGGAACTATAAATAAAGGTACTTTCTTGGATTGGAACTATAAATAAAGGTACTTCCATCGATTGGAACTATTTATAAAGGTACTTCCTTGGATTGGAACTATAAGTAAAGGTACTTTCTTGGATTGGAACTATAAATAAAGGTACTTCATTCTATTGGAACTATTAATAAAGGTACTACCTTCTATTGGAGCTATCAATAATGGTACTTCCTTCTATTGGAACTATAAATAAAGATACTTCCTTATATTGAAACTATAAATAAAGGTACTTCCTTCTATTGGAACTATTAATAAAGGTACTTCCTTGGATTGGAACTATAAATAAAGATACTTTCTTGGATTGGAACTATAAATAAAGGTACTTTCTTGGATCGGAACTATAAATAAAGGTACTTCCTTGGATTGGAACGATAAATAAAGGTACTTCCTTGGATTGGAACTATTAATGAAGATACTTCCTTCTATTGGAACTATTAATAAAGGTACTTCCTTGGATTGGAACTATAAATAAAGGTTCTTTCTTGGATCGGAACTATAAATAAAGGTACTTCCTTGGATTGGAACGATAAATAAAGGTACTTCCTTGGATTGGAACTATTAATGAAGGTACTTCCTTCCATTGGAACTATAAATAAAGGTACTTCCTTCTATTGGAACTATTAATAAAGGTACTTCCTTGGATTGGAACTATAAATAAAGATACTTTCTTGGATTGGAACTATAAATAAAGGTACTTCATTCTATTGGAACTATTAATAAAGGTACTACCTTCTATTGGAGCTATCAATAATGGTACTTCCTTCTATTGGAACTATAAATAAAGATACTTCCTTATATTGAAACTATAAATAAAGGTACTTCCTTCTATTGGAACTATAAATAAAGGTACTTCCTTCTATCGGAACTATAAATAAAGGTACTTCCTTCTATTGGAACTATTAATAAAGGTACTTCCTTGGATTGGAACTATTAATGAAGGTACTTCCTTCCATTGGAACTATAAATAAAGGTACTTCCTTCTATTGGAACTATAAATAAAGGTACTTCCTTCTATTGGAACTATAAATAAAGGTACTTTCTTGGATCGGAACTATAAATAAAGGTACTTCCTTGGATTGGAACTATTAATGAAGATACTTCCTTCTATTGGAACTATTAATAAAGGTACTTCCTTGGATTGGAACTATAAATAAAGGATCTTTCTTGGATTGGAACTATAAATAAGGGCACTTTCTTGGATTGGAACTATAAATAAAGATACTTTCTTGGATTGGAACTATAAAAAAAGGTTCTTTCTTGGATTGGAACTATAAATAAAGGTACTTTCTTGGATTGGAACTATAAATAAAGGTACTTTCTTCGATTGGAACTATAAATAAAGGTACTTCCTTGGATTGGAACTATTAATAAAGGTACTTTCTTCTATTAGAACTATAAATGAAGGTACTTCTTTCGATTGTAGCTATGAATAAAGGTGAGCTATAAATAAAGGAACTATCTTCAATCGGAATAAATGTTACAATGGCGAGTTACTGAATCAACCAGGAGCATCTTGTTTACTTTTAAGCTCACATGCCCGAAGATTGTTTGTGAATGAAAATGACATTGCCTATACTTTCAAAGACATATGTCTGTCATGTGTCAATAAACAATTCACATTTTTGACTTAGGTTCCAAAACTGCTGCACCTTTTCCGATCGACTAGTTCTCATGAATGGAAATGTACATGTTCAAAGGTATAAGACGTTGATTATGATGCTGCTGATGAGGAGGATACACTCAGGATAGTAAGGCTGATGATGATTTTTATGAAAATTATAATATATTGTTGATGCTGATGATTTCAATGATGAATTGATGATGATGATGATGATTTCAATGATGAATTGATGATGACTATATAATAATTTTCATCAAAATCATCAACAGTCTCACCATCTTGAGTGCATCCTCCTCATCAGCATCATCATAATCAACATCTTTATAGGTTGCACTTTTGGGTATATTTCGTTTATTTTTGCATGGAAATACTTCAAACTTTAGTTGGAATTATCATGGAAAAAATAACAACAAACAAAACCCTTCAACACATATCCGAAACGTGTAAAGTCCTGCTTCTATTCCGCTGACAGCATCCTGTGTTAGAGTTCAACAGCATTTGCACATGAATATGGCCTTGCCCTACGTTTACTTTCAAGGTCACAGGGGTCAAATAACTGAAAAACCTTCAACCGCTTCTGAATATTGGCCAACAACTCTATGTAGCAAATTAAACAGGTGAGAGATACAGGTCCTTCTTGTTAATGAACGTGTGATGTAATTAAACGCTGATGTTGATGTTTTGAACATCCTGGAAATGAATAATTTTTCATTTTACAATATTGTACTCTTAACTTCATTTTTAACACTCTAGAAACCATCAGGAGACTTGTAGGACAATCAAAATATTTTTTCAGGAGGCAAGGGGCACAAATCCCAGCAATTCAAGGAATACAAACAGTCACTGTGGACGTGATGGTGAGTTTATTTTACTCCTAATAATTTCATTGACTCAGATGGCTTAAACATACAGGTATGAGGAGGATTTTTCTAATATCACTCACCTAGCCTTGTTAATTGACATGAGATGAGCATTTTGTTCTGTTTGATTAAGCTTAATTCCTGGTTTTTTATTTTGTGGAAAAAATAATATTTCTGTACATGTCACATTCAACTTTATATCAAATTGTACTCAGCATGATTCACATGATATTAATTGAGTAATACTAATATAGTACAGAATTGGTGATGCGAGGAAATATGGCTATGAGGGAAATATTACCACTGTGAGGGAAATATGGCTGTGAGGGAAATACTATCACTGTAAGGTAAATATGACTGAAGGAAATACTATCATTATGAGGGAAATATGACTGTGAGGGACATACTATCACTATGAGGGAACTATGACTTTAAGGGGAATACTATCACTGTTAGGGAAATATGACTGTGAGGGAAATACTATCACTGTAAGGGGAAATATGACTGTGAGGTTAATACTATCACTGAGGGTAAATGTGACTGCGAGGGAAACACTATCAATAGGAGATAAATATGACTGTGAGGTTAATACTATCGCTGTAGGGTAAATGTGACTGCGAGGGAAACACTATCAATAGGGATAAATATGACTGTGAGGTTAATACTATCACTGTAGGGGAAATGTGACTGTGAGGGAAACACTATCAATAGGAGACAAATATGACTGTGAGGGAAATACTATCACTGTAAGGGAAATATGACTGAAGAAATATTGTAAATATGGCTTTGCAAGGGACATATAACTGTGTGAAGGAAATTTGGCTGTTGGAGGAAAATATCACTATGTGTGGCGAATGTGGCTTGTAAGGTTATGTAACTTTGTGAGGGAAATAGGTTTGATTCAAATGTCCTCCAATTTGTTCAGTCAATCAATCACTGTGCTTTATGGACATTGTATCAGAAATTATGATTAAATATTTTTTGGGATATAAAAAAAAACAATACAACAAATGACTATGCTATTGTATACAATCCAATAGTGTTGATATGATTGATTTCCGTGTTGTTTTCTGTTAGACGGTGTCTCGGGCGGAATGGACCCAAGGTCTGCCAATGATGCTGTGGGAGCAGAGAACCAGGTTGACATCCATGAACTAGCCTTGTCTGTGTTTGAGTTTATTCGGGACCAGCTGGACTGCTCCCAAATGTACAACGGGAGGAACCTGGCTGACATAGACGGTCTCAACTACCGCCAGATTCAGGACATTGGACAATTGTGGAAGAACCACAGGATTAGCATTCCCTTTGAGTACTTAATCCGTACTTTCCAACGCTATAGTGTTCAGCAACTTCGGGATGATCTCAGGAAAATCCCACGCTGTGACCTACTGGATCGCCTGAAGAAGTTGGAGATTGATGGAAAATTACCAGGTAGTGCTGGACTGTTTACTGGTCTGTCCTAAAGTGAACCTTTCCTGTTTCTGACTTTTATGCATAGGGTACTATACTAGTGTGTAAATTGGACATATTTTGCTTAGGGAATGTAAACTTGGTGATGATGAGTTTGTGTTTATCCGAGTGAACCGCCCCTAGGTGTCATGATGGGTTCTGGTTCATCAGAACACTGAATCTGTCTCATGTTAGGAATCCTGAAGCAGAAATAGGCAAATATTGACAGTGTTTGACATACTATTTACTGTTTACATAAACTACTACCTCGGGTCCTTCAGGACAGGTGCCTGGGGTCAACACAATGAAAGTATTGTAAATATGGTAAAGCCTTGTTTATCTGGCACCATTAACCTGGCTGTTAATCACGCCACTGCCAATCTGGCTGTTTATCACGCCACCACCAATCTGGCTGTTTATCTCGCCACCACCAATCTGGCTGTTTATTTCACCACCACCAATCTGGCTGTTTATCTCACCACAACCAACCTGGATGTTTATCTCGCCACCACCAATCTGGCTGTTTATCTCGCCACCACCAATCTGGCTGTTTATCTCACCACCACCAATCTGGCTGTTTATCTCACCACCACCAATCTGGCTGTTTATATCGCCACCACCAATTTGGCTGTTTATCTCGCCACCACCAATCTGTCTGTTTATCTCGCCACCACCAATCTGACTGTTTATCTCACCACCACCAATCTGGCTGTTTATATTGCCACCACCAATCTGGCTGTTTATCTGGCCACCACCACTCTGGCTGTTTATCTGGCCACAGCCAATCTGGCTGTTTATCTCACCACCACCAATCTGGCTGTTAATCACGCCACCACTAATCAGGCTGTTTATCGCGCCACCACCAATCTGGCTGTTAATCACGCCACCACCAATCTGGCTGCTAATCAAACCGACGCCAATCTGGCTGTTTATCTGACCACCACCATTCTGGCTGTTTATCTCACCACCACCAATCTGGCTGTTTATATTACCACCACCAATCTGGCTGTTTATCTGGCCACCACCACTCTGGCTGTTTATCTGGCCACAGCCAATCTGGCTGTTTATCTCACCACCGCCAATCTGGCTGTTAATCACACCACCACTAATCTGGCTGTTTATCTCGCCACCACCAATCTGACTGTTTATCTCACCACCACCAATCTGGCTGTTTATATCGCCACCACCAATCTGGCTGTTTATCTCACCACAACCAATCTGGATGTTTATCTCGCCATCACCAATCTGGCTGTTTATCTCGCCACCACCAATCTGACTGTTTATTTCACCACCACCAATCTGGCTGTTTATCTCACCACAACCAATCTGGATGTTTATCTCGCCATCACCAATCTGGCTGTTTATCTCTCCACCACCAATCTGGCTGTTTATCTGTCCACCGCCAATCTGGCTGTTTATCTCACCACCACCAATCTGGCTGTTACTGGCTGTTAATCACACCACCACCACTAATCTGGCTGCTAATCAAACCGACGCCAATCTGGCTGTTTATCTGACCACCACCATTCTGGCTGTTTATCTCACCACCACCAATCTGGCTGTTTATATTACCACCACCAATCTGGCTGTTTATCTGGCCACCACCACTCTGGCTGTTTATCTGGCCACAGCCAATCTGGCTGTTTATCTCACCACCACCAATCTGGCTGTTTACCTCACCACCACCAATCTGGCTGTTTATCTCACCACAACCAATCTGGATGTTTATCTCGCCATCACCAATCTGGCTGTTTATCTCTCCACCACCAATCTGGCTGTTTATCTCACCACCGCCAATCTGGATGTTTATCTCACCACCACCAATCTGGCTGTTTACCTCACCACCACCAATCTGGCTGTTTATCTCACCACCCCCAATCTGGCTGTTAATCACACCACCTCCCCTAATCTGGCTGTTAATCATGCCACCACTAATCAAGCTGTTTATCTCGCCACCACCAATCTGACTGTTTATCTCCCCACCACCAATCTGGCTGTTTATCTCACCACAACCAACCTGGATGTTTATCTCGCCACCACCAATCTGGCTGTTTATCTCGCCACCGCCAATCTGGATGTTTATCTCGCCACCACCAATCTGGCTGTTTATATTGCCACCACCAATCTGGCTGTTAATCTGGCCACCACCAATCTGGCTGTTTATCTGGCCACCGCCAATCTGGATGTTTATCTCACCACCACTAATCTGTTTGTTCATCTCACCACCACCAATCTGGCTGTTTATCTCACCACAACCAATCTGGATGTTTATCTCGCCATCACCAATCTGGCTGTTTATCTCGCCACCACCAATCTGGCTGTTAATCACACCACCACCACTAATCTGGCTGCTAATCAAACCGACGCCAATCTGGCTGTTTATCTGACCACCACCATTCTGGCTGTTTATCTCACCACCACCAATCTGGCTGTTAATCACACCACCACCAATAATCTGGCTGTTAATCACGCCACCACCAATCTGGCTGCTAATCAAACCGACGCCAATCTGGCTGTTTATCTCACCACCACCATTCTGGCTGTTTATCTCACCACCACCAATCTGGCTGGTTATCTCACCACCACCATTCTGGCTGATTATCTCACCACCACCAATCTGGCTGGTTATCTCACCACCACCATTCTGGCTGATTATCTCACCACCACCAATCTGGCTGTTTATATCGCCACCACCAATCTGGCTGTTTATATCGCCACCACCAATCTGGCTGTTAATAAAACCAACGCCAATCTGGCTGTTTATCTCACCCCCACCACTAATCTGCCTGTTAACCACCCCACCACCAATCTGGCTGCTAATCAAACCGCCGCCAATCTGGCTGTTTATCTCACCACAACCACTAATCTGGCTGTTAACCACGCCACCACCAATCTGGCTGTTAATCACGCCACCACCAATCTGGCTGTTAATCACGCCACCACCAATCTGGCTGCTAATCAAACCGACGCCAATCTGGCTGTTTATCTCACCACCACCACTAATCTGGCTGTTAACCACTACTCATCTGACTGTTAATCACGCCACCATTAATCCAGCCATTACCTATCCCGCTGTCCCAATATCCGATCTCATAGATTTCATGACAGATTTGGTGTTGTTTTTTAAATCCGAAAATCCAACCATCATACAATCAAGCCACTTTTGCTGGGAACATATATAGTTGACAGGATTATACATTTCATAACTTGAAACATGTACAATTTTTAAAGTATTATTAAAGAGGAGCTACAAGTCATATGGCATATCCACTTGCATATACACCCATCAGAAGTCTACCATTGTTTTGCATGCTGTGTACAGAAATTACGTACATTTTGTGTTATATTCATTTTTGCATTTATTGATCATTAATTCAATATTGATTAAGTACCTACAGTATTTATAAACACATTTTTTTTTAAAGTACATTATGATTGAAATAAAAAGCTGAAAATAGTGAAATATTCTTCTCGTTTGTTTTAATTCGGGATGCACACACAGTTTCGTTAAATAAATTTACTTTTCAATCAGATGGAACTTGTACATGTAGCTTATATATATAATTAGATTTTGTGGATGCCCATCCCACCTTGCTGTCAGTGGAAGGGCAAAGTTTAATATGTAAAAAAACAAACAAATCAGATATAGAATTTTGCACCCATATATCCACCTTTGGACGTGAGACCTTTATTTATACCTTAACTCATTCATCCCAGACATTTTGTAATGAACTATTCCAACCTTTGAATTGGAATAATTCAAGTATCTTTAAGGGTGAATGTGTTAATCACAGGAGTCTGACGTTTAATCATTATAACTATAACTGTTTATAAAAATAACCCTTATATTATAATTTTGTATAGTATATATATATGGGGTATATTTCATACAAACAGGTTTTATAGTTATATTGATTCAAACAAGGACCAACAATAAGCGACATCTGTATGCAATAAGTTCCCCGGTATGCATTGATAGCTTTCGGATCAAAGCTTGCACTTTTCCTGTAAACTTGGGACGTATGTCGGAAATGCTTGATTGATGTGTCCCACTGAACTACAATTGGAAAACTACGAAGCTTGACCGAGATTTCCGGCATTCTTCGGCAGATTTTCGCAGATTGCCGGAAATTTCGATTGAGCCGGAAATAACCCGAGCTATTTATTACATGTAGCTGGTTGTCCCAACTGCACGGAGAAATTAAGGGACATACATATATTAATTAAAGATCGCAAAAAGAAAGATGAACATACGAGTTTATTAGCTGAAGGTCGAAGTGAACGTTTCTTTTCACTTTTGGTTTTGTGGTTGCTGTCCGTCATTTTAAAGATAGCAGTCTTATTTTAATGGTCCATTCATTAACATTCAAAATTAAAACCACGCCCCCGAATGGGTCTTTCACATCAATCAAGTGGCATGGTGAATCTGATTGCAATCTTGAGCATGCGCATACATACCTTTCTGATGGAACAGACGACAGACATTTTGAAAAGTTTGGAACAGTTGAAATTTGAACGAAGAAAAACGACAGTTTGAAGTCATAGAGGAGGAACAAGGTAAAACACAAAAGGAGAGTCTCTGCTTATGGTTCCTTCAAACTGTTGGGTTATTTTTCAAAATAATTTCATTGATAGAAATTTACAGACTGGGATATTTCAGAACAGTTTTGAGTGAGTTTTTTTTCAAACGTGAATTAACGCTTCAGTAAAAGCGGTTTAGATAAGGGAAAAATATGACCATTAATGTAAGGGAAACATGACCAAAGAGAAGTTTGAAACATTCTGCGCGCGTGTATACATTTTAACTCTTATCTGTTTCCCGTCAATATCAAACATGTCCGATAACATTGGGTCTGTGCTCCCATGACTCCAATTATGGTCGTCTGCTACAATAGGGATGCGCGTCTTGTGATCAGACTGTACTGGAACAGTTCCACTCGGTCCAAACACGTGTACTGTTTTATTCCGAGTTCCGCTCCGCTATTCGCTTCATCAGTACTGTGAATTGGCCACAGCTTTACGTAATACGTTTGAAATCAACATAGCGCAAATTGACAAAAAGGTGGTATATTTCATTTAATCCTTTGAGTGCCAAGTCAATAAATATTTTTGTCAGTAAACCTTGTGTAAGTTGTTTTTATTTTTTAAATGCTAACTTTTATTTTACAACTGTTTCCGTACGGTTTCACAAGAGTTGTATCCCGTCAATATCCTACATGTCCGATAACATTGGTCTGCACTCCAATGATGATCGTCGGCTACAAGAGGGATGCGCGTCTTGTGACCAGACTGTGCTGGAACAGTTCCACTCCCGACATGCCTACTGTATTAGCCGAGTTCCGCTCCCTTAATCGCCTAATTGGTGACAGTACGCGCTAACGATATCAGTACTGTGAAAGGACATTGCCCGCCATCTGTTTGAAATCAACATTATGTAATGGACACGTAGAAATATATTTCATTTTATCCTTGGGGTGTCAAATCAATAAATATTTGCTTCTGTCAATATTGTGTAATTTTTTTTTATAAAAATTGATTTGTTGTTGAATGTAAACTCTACGAATCCTAACTGTTTCCGTACAGTTTCACAAGACTTGTATTCCGTCAATATCCAACATGTCCGAACATTGGGTCTCCACTCCAATGGTGGTCGTCTGCTCCAATGGGGATGCGCGTCTTGTTTGTGATCAGACTGTACTGGAACGGTTCCACTCCCGACATGTTTATTGTCTTGTCTAATTTTGCACTCACTTTTCGCTCCATTGACTAAAGCAGCGCTCCAAACAACAGCGCTGTGAAACCAATCGGAAACCGTCGGCACTTTTCGTAAACGAGAAACCATTCCCATTGCTGTAAAACGGCAATGTCTTCATGCAATTCGTTTGAATCAACTAAGTGTAAATTGACGTGAGGAAAATATTTCATTTTATCATTTGGGTATCAAATCAATGAATTTAGATCAGTAAATGCCGTGTTCATTGTTCTTAAATGTAAACTCTTTTAACTGTTTCCGTACGGTTTCACAAGACTTTATCACGTCGATATCCAACATGTCCGAACATTGGGTCGCCACTCCAATGGTGGCCGTCTGCTACAATAGGGATGCGCGTCTTGTGATCAGACTGTACTGGAATGGTTCCACTCCCGACATGTTAACCTGTCTTGTTCCGACTTCCGATCACTATTCGCTTCATTGATGACAGCAGCGTCAACGACATCAGTAATCTGAAACGACCGCAGCTTCACGCACTCCGTTTGAAATCAACATTGTGTAATTTGACACGTAGAAATATATATTTTATGTCTGGGTATCAATTCAATAAAGATTTGCTTCAGTAAGTCTTATGTTTATTGTTGTTGAACTCCAGGAACCCTATCTGTTTCCGCACGGTTTCACAAGACTTGTATCCCGCCAATATCCAGCATGTCTGATAACATGGGGTTTGACGATGGACGTCTGCTACAATAGGGATGCGCGTCTTGTGAGCAGTCTGTACTGGAACAGTTCCGGTTTTTATACGTGTCTACGTCAAGTAAATGAAAATTGGGAGACAACAGCAGTGCTGAGGCGGTCGACAAAGGTAAGTGGTCGTTTAGATCATTTATTACTGCAGTACATATTCGACGACTGATTTATTAAGGATCCTTGTACAACTGCACGAAACTTTAACTATGCATTGGAAAAAAAATCAGCAGGACTATAGCTTTTATAAATCATTTTGAAAAGAAAATTATACCTTGTGGGACTTAAATGAAACATAATACACTTGTAATAAAGAAGAAATAAATAATATAACAAATAATATGTTTTGAATGTAAAAAAGTCAGCGGGGATAGATTTCAAGGACACATTTCTTGATTCGTATCACCTATCGTTTCCATTTGAAACCAACATTTGAAGCCAATGAATATCGGAGATAAATTTGTCAATGTTCTACAGGTGTCAAATTTTTATTATGTTCTGTGTTGGGTATTTTTTATGTGTTTGAATATAGTCTGCCAAAACTGGCCAGGCTGTATAATAAACCTTACGGAATTTGAAACCTGCAGATATGATCTTTATTATATAACTTAAGGATGTCGTGGGTTTTAAAAAGGGAGTGCAGATCAGGGGCGCGGATTTAGGGGGGG